CGATGTGGAAGCCGACATAGACGAGTACTGGTTTGGCCACCACTACTGACCCACCAGCCAGAGGATGTAGTGATTAAGGGTCGAAACATCTGAAGAGGGCTGGCCATCACCTGATGACGTCAAATGAGCCTTCGCGACAAGAATAACAGCAGCGACGGACTACAAGTCAAGGATGTCACAAGATGCAGAATTACCATCATCTTTAAGCAATCATCGGTGTGCTTGCCTCCGTGTGATAGCGCGGATCTGATGCCGACATTATAGTGCTATCTCACTTAAATGCCATACCGAAGGCACCCAGCAAAGCATTCCGCCCGGTCACATTATACTGACAACGGGTGAACCAGTTGTTGCCATTTCCTTAAATGCTGAACGTTAAGCAGGGAATAACAACTACATTTTTAAGGACTTTGGTATGTCCCGGCTTGGGGACAGAACCCATTGCCTTCCTCGTCTGGGCGAACGCTCAACATTCAAGCCAAAAATGAAGTGTTGCCAAGCAAGGCACTATGAAATAAAAGGAAGTTAGAAGTAAAAAGAAAGATAAAGATCCCAAATATTTCAATGGTCGCAGCAGATTCATTTTGGTCGCTTTTGTGTCCCCAAATACAGGTCACCAAAGCAAATTCCCAATTCTGCAGGGGGTTCCCGCATAAGTCGCCTCCTACGATAATTGCTGTGGGTAACAGCAGGTGTATTCTTTTCCAGATCCCCCAACTGCAACGGTGACTAGACCGGGATTCGAACCCTGAACTTCAGATAGTTATACCGTCTCTCTAACCGACTGAACCACCTAGTCAACGGAATTATCCTGACAGTTAAATCCCAAACGAATTCAAGGAGAGGTTTCTAAATGCATGACCAACAGGCCCAGAAGCCTGTATATCTCACCTGGAGTTTTAAACGATCGTGACAATAGAGTTTCCTCAATAGTTATACATAGTTATCACATTTTTTTCCGTTTTTGGACTTAATTTGGTACCCCTTTCAATTCATTCAACATTGCATTTCCTCGTGACAAAGATACCTCATAACAAGTTAGCTGAAGAACAATCAAATGATCAAGAGGAAAAGGCATTTAAACCCTCTCCGACAGCTCCAGGGGAGGTACAATATCCATTTACACATTCGATTCCAATACCCTACAGACCAAGTGTTCTTCAAAAATCAACAAAATTGGTTGAGATTCGTATCATCTAGTTTTAGAGCCTGTGTTACGAACTGGGAATAAGTCACCAAGGCTATACCCAGGAGCCTATACTTACACAGTATTATACTTACTGTTTTTGTAAATGATTTGGATCTACACCAAAACAATAACATGCCTCCTGTTTCAGATATGAATTACGTTTATGCTTGACTGTCGTGCTTCTTTATTTGTCTCTACACTACCAGAAAATACAAGAAATATCGGAAAACTTAATGACATTTGACTAGGCCCAGCTTCCATGCCCGCTTCGGTACTAGCTATATCCGGTGTCAGTCCTACACAGTGTTACAACACGGTTATGATCGTCTCTTTGTACAATGCAATTTTATAGAGAATGGGAGAGGGATCTCAAACGATTCCATGCTATAACCCAGAAACTAAATCCTCATTTGCGGGGAAGGACCCGAGGCTGATTCCAGTAGCATGGTTGTATTTATCTCCTAATGCCTTGCAAAACTATATAAAATTTTAGAGCGGAGATCTGAAATGATGCAGGGACTGAATCCCAAGACAGGGCTAGAAAACGGAGCCTTTACTGGTAGCGTGGATGTATTTGTCTCTTTATGCCCATTATTTGCATATGTTGTCATATCCTAACTTCAACTTCATTTATACAAGGCATTTATTGGTGATACATAAAATACATGTATGAACTGTACAAAGTTTGCTCTAATGATATTTATAACAAAATATGGCGACAATCCATACAACCATTTAGAAAAGTGTCGAGTATCGAGGCAAAGACGGACATCCTCTATTTACACAACGTTGAGTCACTGTGGCCAAAAGATTTTCCAAAGCAACTTTGGTTAAGATCCACGCAACCGTTTCATAAGAAAAGATTCTAAAGATTCACCTCTCACTATTTGTGTTCGCCAAAAACTTTGAGAGTAGTTATAGGTCATTCATCTGAACAAATTTGATAGTACTTCATCACAACTGCAGTCAAAATATCATGACTTTTGGCCTTCAAAGCCATTCATTTACAAAAACAAGAGGCCCAAGGGCCTTAGCGGTCACCTGAGTTATATCATAGGTACTGGTAGATTTATTTTATTGTTTAGATGTGATGAGGAAATCAGCATGGGGTAGGAATCCCAATTTTACAATTTAAAACCATCTTCCTCCTCCAAGGATAATTATCACCAAGTAAAAATAATTTCCAACAGAAAATTGTCAAAATATACCCAAAAGTGTTGTTTCCCTATATAAACTATAGTAAACTTTACCCCCTCCCCAAAGGAGAACGGATAGCTCGGGGGTCCTGAAATTTACAATTTAAAGAAAGCCCCTGCTGATCTCTCCATCCATGCAGAGAAAATGACTGTAATACCTCTGAGTCTGGAGAAGAAGATTTTT